AGACTTCTTTTTAAATAGGTTTCTACAACTTAATTATTACAAGGTTACTTGTACAGAATTGATCTTAAAAAATAAAACCAACTTTCATAATATTGTGGAAATTAACAGTTAAATAACATTATTAAAAAATCTTCAAGTTGTTTGTTTTTCATCTTTCCTGTTGAGACATTAGAAATATTAATCGTACTTTTTGATACAACAAGATAAAATAAATACTTTACACCCAGTAACGTGTGTAGTTTGTACAACCGTTTGAGAATACAGGTTAAATATGGAAATTTATAATCTGAGTAAGTTCGTTTAATGAAGTTCACTCTGGATAGGTGTTATACAAGAAGCGATAACCTCCATTTCACACGTAGTGAGTGATCTGTTATCTAATATTGAGAATTATAATTTTTTTAAGCAGTTCTTCACATCTTGTAAAGCCATACCAGAAAGTCTCTTCTTATTTTCCTTTTCACAGTCTGTTAAAATGTCTGATAGTTACAGTATGTACAATCTCCTGGAATTACCTGTAACACATTAAAAAAGTCATTTCTTTTATAGACTGAACCTGAATATAAAAAAAAACAATAATAACGATGTGGACATTATAACAGGACCATGTAAAAAAATAAAAGTATTAGCGGTTAGTTTTCTTTGTGTGTTGTAAAGGGGGTAGATAAATTATTTTTCAAAGAAAATCTAAGATATTTTCCGCGCCCTGTATCGAGGCTTCCTAAATTTTTTACATTGTGTTTGATGAACAATATAAGTACAGTCGTGACAATCGCAACGTATTTTTTGGACGTTGAGGAGACGTGTTTAGACAACCAGTGAGTGGATTAAACGTGGTGGTGGGGTGCGTATTATATTCAAGTTCACTCACTGGTTTTAAAATTCCTCTCAGTTTTGGGTATTAACACCCCCTTTTACAAATGATTATCGTAATACACAAGCTTCTAGTCAACAGTCGGGTGATTGTAATAGTGTTTACTTTAGGAAGTTATGGTAATACACAAGCTTCTAGTCAACAGTCGGGTGATTGTGATAGTGTTTACTTTAGGAAGTTATCGTAATACACAAGCTTCTACTCAACAGTCGGGTGATTGTGATAGTGTTTACTTTAGGAAGTTATCGTAATACACAAGCTTCTACTCAACAGTCGGGTGATTGTGATAGTGTTTACTTTTTCTGCCTTATGAATCTGCTGAAAATAGTTAATATAAAGTTTCTTTTTCCCAA